AGCCCAGCAGGCAAGATAAGATCTCAATGGTGGTCTGTGTCAGGGACTCATGCTAGTGTTGTCTAGAACTGTTTGTGATCATTAGTTCAAGGAAAGGTGATGAAGGAACAGGGTGTATAACTTTATGACAGGGGGTTAACTCTGAAATGCTTTCAGAGTCGTCTGAGACCCTAATTATCTATGACCTTATGAAACATTATTCTTCCCATAGAAACAAGAGGATGAGCACATTCAGCTAGCACAACTCATTGGTTGTCACCTACCTATTCATTGGTCTTTTCTTCTCTGTTTGTATCCCCTGAGATATGCCCAGAGATGAGGTCCATATGATAACCAGTCCCATGACACATTTGCAGAAGATTTGATGTATATTACCAAGAATTTATTTCATGTATAGTATTATTTTAAGCATACATTATTTGCTAAATAACAGGACTCCATGTTTTTATGCTTTTTCATATTTTTAATAATATTGACCGCATTGAGACATGTGAGGTTAAATGTATGGTAGAGAGCATTGGGGGTTTGGGGAAAACATGCTCACAGGGTCTTAAGTCATCAACATTCCTCCATGACAAATTTGACTTACCTCAATAATTATTACGTTTTCTAATTAAGGAATATTTCACCAAATCAATATGTTGTCAATTAATGTTTTTCCCTTAAGAATGAAGTTGACACTGAACTTTTCACAAGAGTAGAGACATTTATTTGATAAGATGAAAAAAATGAGTGTTTCAATTCTTACAGTTAAGAAAAAACTCCTTTCAAATTTTCTTACTCATTTTTTAACCTTGATAAACTACAGGCACACCTGGGGCAGCTTCTGCATCCACCTCTGGATGGGCAGGGAGCAGCACTGTTCTACCTGCAAGTACTGGAGCTGCAACATCAGGTAAGACTCTTGAGCCTTTGGAGGCATCTCAGCTGTTAATCCGTTCCCATGCAGCCTCAGGAGATGGTCTGGAAAATTGGCCTGTATGTGTGAGTGAAATTCATGACACTGGATGTGGTTAAAGAATAGGTTGTCTCATGTTTTATCATGCAAGTCCATTCATATAAATTAGCAATTCTAAAGTCATATGAGTCTGCAACATGCATGTTTTCCTGTCTTAGAGAGCACAGTCACATCCTCAAGACACACTACTGTTCCTCAGACCTCCAGTCAATCCACAGCTACTGCCAGCAGCAAAGCAGGTAAGGAAATAGAGGAGACTAAGAATTCTCAGGTGTCAAATGGAAAGTTGTTAATTTCCAATTATTTATACAGAAGTGTAAGAATGGCATGTATATTACAAGGCTATGAGTCCATAAGTGACAAGCAATGGTCTGGTTATATTACCATTTATTCAAAGGGGAATGCAGGAATTCCTTGTATATTTAGAAAAATGAGACAGCATGAAAATGAGGACTGTATTAGTTGATGTTTCCATTATCCCAAATTTTGGTTGATAATGTGTTTTTTTGGGCAATAGTGGCCCTGAATCCTCCTTGGCACTGTTGGACACTGAGTCATAAGGGTTAAGTCTCACTATCTTGAATCTAACTTAGCATGAAGTAGAAAAATTCATAATGTCTTCTTTATCATGGATATTAAATGCATTTTCATATATGAAGCACACAGGCAGAAATATATCTGAAAGACCCAGTTGATTTCAATAACCATATGAGTACTAGATTCAAATAGATGAATAAAAAGGAGGTAGAAAATCATATTTCCATGCATAATCAAAAAGCCTAGCAAAAATTCTTCTATATCATATGAAATTTACAAAGATTGAAGCAGCAATAGGAACTGTATATAAACTAGTGAAGACACTGGCCATCATAGATCAGTATGGTCTACTGCTGCTTCATAGTCATGACATTGTGTTTCTTTGAAAGCAATGACTGCATCATCAGCAGGAACAACTAGATCCCCAAGCAGTGAGCAGACCCCATCTGAAGTCAGTGCAGGTGAGTTGAGGTTGTTTCCTGGAGAGGGTCATGCTGTGGCTGAATATGCAGGGAGAGATTTTTGAGAAATGAGTTGAAGCTAGCACTCTAGGGAGAAACATTCCCTAAAGACTAAACTGTGAGTTATGATGAGCATGTTGAGCTATGACATAGAACTACAGTGTCTTAAGGTCTAATGAGTCAATATGTACAAGTTCACTCATATGCAACAAGTCAGTGAATTCTATGAAGGATAGTGGAAATAAAAGAGAAAGAAGACATATAAGGAAGATAATTGAAAGTATTAGATCTTGATCTATATCCCTATATCAAATATCCTGATAATAAACTTTTGCTCACATTGAAAGGAACCACTACACCATCAGCTGTGGAAACATCTGGAGCCCCAAGCAGTGAATCTCCCCAGCCTTCAGACAAGTCCAGTGAGTATAAACCGATTGTGAAGAAGTCATGGGTTTTAACAAACTGGATCACCTTACCACTTCACAGCTCATTTTAAATCAAAGTCCAATATTTAGATTGACATATTAGGATTAATGCAAAATGGAGAACAGTTTCATATTAGGAGTTTTTCTCCTCCCTTTGGCAGAAAGCCAAGGCTTTTGATAACATGACTCTGGCTTCAAAGTGTAGACATGATTAAACATAAAAATCTCTGCACTTATTCCTTCTCATCACATGAAACTGGATAATATTCTAGCCTTTCCCACGTAGAAAAACAGGCAGAGTTAAGAAAGGAGGCAGAGATGTGGAAAATCCTCATGCCAGGCACATTTCCAGAGTATCCAGTCTATAAAGGATTGCCTGAACAGTGGCAATCCTGTTTCTAGCAGAGAGAGAAAGCTCTCCTTTGGGGAAAGTATTTGTCTAACACACTTTGGAAATTTGTCATATTACTGTTTTGCTACAAATCATTGAGTACAAATGAGAGTTTAACCTCTGAGATTTGAGAGGCTGTTGTAAGTTACTGGGTCTGCTCTAGACTATGAGGACAACACAACAACTCATCGGAATATATCCAACAGCAGGGCAGCATAAGATTTCCTGGCCAGACTTTTTTCATGTGTCATTATTTCTATGGAAAATAAAAATGTCATTCATGTCTCAGGATCCTTAGTCCCTGCTGAACACATGAGTGACAGGGTGGGAAGAAAACCAAGGGAACCCAGCAACAGTGCTAAAATCCAAGGAAACTCAATTCAGTTAGAGCAGGACCTTCATTAGTAGCAATTCAGTGGGTAGAGAGGAAACAGGTAGGCTTCCATGTATGTAAAGACTTTTTTATCCAGTAGGTATAGGATTGAACCTCTCCTTGTCTCCCTTCTGAGGACTAGGAAGTGTTTCCAGCATGGCTCCTTTGCTTTGCAGGCACAACAGGACAGTCTGTGGGAGTTACCACAAGACCAGACAGGGAGGCCACACCTGTCACCCTAGGCACAGAAGTCACCACTGGAAGCACAGCAGGCAAGATAAGATCTCAATGTTGGTCTGTGTCAGGGACTCATGCCAGTGTTGTCCAGAAGAGTTTGTGATCATTAGTTCAAGGAAAGGCAATGGAGGACTGAAATATAGGACTGCATGAAATGACATCAACCCTGAAATGCTTTGGCTCCATACTGAGGCTGTTGCTTTCTGTAACCTTAAGAAATATCCTGTTTCCATAGAAACAAGAGGACAAGCACATTCAGCTAGCACAGCTCATTGTTTGCTACCTACCTATTCATTGGTCTTTCCTTCTCTGTTAGTATTCCTTGAGATATGCCCAGTAATGAGGTCCATATGATAACCAGTCCATGCCATGTTTGCAGAAGATTCCATGTATATTGCCAAGAATTCTTTTTTATTTCTAATATTATTTTAAGCATACCTTATTTGCTAAATAATAGGGGTACTCAATGATCTCATGCGTTTTCTTAATTTTAATAAACAATAACGAGACATGTGAGCCTAGAAGTGTGAGAGAGCAGTCATGTGGGCAAAGATGCTGACTTACCTTCATAATTATTATGATTTCAAATTACTGAATAATTCCCCAATCAGTACGTTGTCAGGTAATGTATTCCCTCAAGAACGAATTTGGCACTGATTTTTTTTTTATAACAGTAGAGAGTTTCATTTTGGAAGAGAAAAAAATGGCTATTTCAATTCTTTGTTTTTAGAAAAAACTCCCTTTAATTTTTCTTACTCATTTTTTAACCATTTAGGCACACGTGGGGTAACTTCTGCATCCACCTCTGGAGGAGCAGGGAGCAGCACTGCTCTACCTGCAAGTACTGGAGCTGCAACATCAGGTAAGACTCTTGAGCCTTTGGAGGCATCTCAGCTGCTAATCCGTTCCCATGCAGCCTCAGGAGATGGTTTGGAAAATTAACCTGTATGTGTGAGTGAAATTCACGACACTGGATGTGGTTGAAGAATGGGTCGTCTCATGTTTTATCATGCAAGTCCATTCATATAAATTAGCAATTCTAAAGTCATATGAATCTGCAACATGCATGATTTCCTGTCCTAGAGAGCACAGTGACATCCTCAAGACACACTACTGTCCCTCAGGCCTCCAGTCAATCCACAGCTTCTGCCAGCAGCCAAACAGGTAAGCGAAGAAAGGCGGTATGAGCTCTCATGTGTCAGATGGAGAGTTGTTAATTTCCCTTTATTTATATAAAAATGTAAGAATGGCATGTATGTTACATGACTATGACAAGTGAGTGGCTGGTTATATCACCATTTATTCAAAGGGTAATGTAGGAATTCCTTGTATATTTAGAGACATGAGCTAGCATCAGAAAGAGGACAGCATTAGTTGATGTTTCTCTTATCCCAAATTAGGTTGATAATGTGTTTTTTTGGACAATAGTGGCCCTGATTCTTCCCTTGGTACTTTTGGCTTACTGAAGGCTAAGGCTTACTATCCTGACTCTTAGCATGAAGTAGAAAAATTCTTAATGTCCTCTTTATCACGGGGATTAAATGTGTTTTTGTATAGGAAGCACACAGACAGAAATATATCTGAAAGACACAGTTGGTTTCAATAAGCATATGAATACTAGATTCAAATAGATGATTAAAAAGGAGATAGACAATCATATTTCCATCAAAAAGCCCAGCAAAGCTTCCTCCATATCAAATGAAATTTACAAAGATTGAAGCAGCAATAGGAACTACTCATAAATTATTGATGACTTTCTTCATCACAGAGCAGTGTTGTCTAGAGCTGCTCATATTCTTGACATTGTGTTTCTTTGAAAGTAACCACTGGATCATCAGCGGGAACAACTAGATCCCCAAGCAGTGAGCAGACCCCATCTGAAGTCAGTACAGGTGAGTGGAAGCTATGTCAAGGACAGGCTCATGCTTTTGACAAAGATGCAGAGAGAGATTTTTAAGAAATAAAAATCTGGCCTGGTGGTGGTGGCCCATGCCTTTAATCCCAGTACTTGTAAGACAGAGGCAGGCAGATCTCTGTGAGTTCGAGGCCAGCCTGGTCTCCAACTCAAGTTCCAGGAAAGGCACATTGCTACATAGAAAAACCCTGATTCAAAAAAAGAGAGTAAATAAACTGAAAATAGGAGGCTGAAGAGACCCATCTCATAAAGGTCCTACATGGGCTCTCATGTAGTTGCAGAGCTATGACATAGAACTCCAGTATCTTAATGTCAAATTAGTCAATGTGTACATGTTCATTCACATCCAACAAGTCAGTGATTCTCTGAGGATATATTAGTTCATGACGGATTTTGTGATTGATTCATGAAAATAGGGAGATAGAGAATGATGGAATTTAAGAAAAATAATTGAAAGTGTTAGCATTCGGATCTATACATCTGAATCAAACATCCTGATAGCAAATTATCATTCACATTGAAAGGGCCTACTGTACCATCAGCTGGGGAAACATCTGGTGCCCCAAGCAGTGAATCAACCCAGCCTTCAGACAAGTCAAGTAAGTACATGCTGATGTGAGGATGTCGTGGGTTTTTACAAAATGGATTGCCTTACCACGACCCAGCTCATTTTAAATCACAGTGCAATCTTTAGATGGACATTTGAGGACTAAAGTTAAATGGAGAACAATATCATTTTGAGTCTTTCTCCTCCCTAGGGCAGAAAGCCAAGGCTTTTGATAATGTGACACTGGGTTCAAAGGGTAGACATGATTGAATAGAAAAATCATGGGATTATTCCTTCTCATCATATAAAACTGAGATGGTGTTCTGCCTTCCCAGTATAAGGACAGACAGATTCAACAGAGGAGGCAGAGATGCAGCAATAGCCTCATGCCCAGGCACATTTCCAGAGTATCCAGTCTCTAATGGAACATATCAACACCTGGAGATTTTCAAGGAGAAGGAGAAAGCTCTCAAAGTAGCGTTCTAACTCAGTTCTGAAATTTGTCAAATTACTGTTTTACCACAGATCATTGAGAGCCAATGAGAGGCTAGACTATGGTGTTGGAGAGGCAGATATTGGGTCCAGGGTCTGCTCTAGGCTAAAAGAACAACATAACAACTCATGGGAACTTATCCAAATGTTGGACAGGATAGAAATTCCTGGCCAGACTTTTTGTAGTGTCATTTTTTTTTCTAAAAAGTATGAATGTTGTTTATATCTGGGAACCTTAGTCCCTGCTGAACTCACAAGTAACAGAGGAGGCAGCACACCCAGGGGACCCACTAGCCATGTTAAAATTCAAGAAAACTCGAGTGAGTTAGAGGAGTAACTTCAATCGTAGCAATTTAGTGGGTAGAGATGAAACAGGCAGGTTGCTGGGCAAAGCACAGACTTGTTCACCTAGTGAGGTATAGAATTGAACCTCTCCATGTCTCCCTTCTGAGGACTAGTAAGTGTTTCCAGCATGGCTCCTTTGCTTTGCAGGCACAACAGGACAGTCTGTGGGAGTCACCACAAGACCAGACAGGGAGGCCACACCTGTCACCCAAGTCACCTCTGGAAGTCCAGCAGGCAAGATAAGATCTCAGTGTGGTGGTCTATGTCAGGGACCCATGCCCGTGTTGTCCAGAATTGTTTGTGATCATTAGTTCAAAGAAAGCTGATGAAGGAGCAGAGTGTAGAACTTCATGACATGAGGTCAACTCTGAAATGCTTTGGGATGATTCTGAGACCCTCATTATCTGTGATCTTAAGAAACATCCATGTTCCCATGGAAACAAGAAGAAGACTACATGAAGCTAGCACAACTCAGTGGTTGTCACCTACATATACATTGGGCTTTCCTTCTCTGTTAGTATTCCCTGAAATATTTCCAGAGATGAGGTCCATATGATAACCAGTCCCATGACACATTTGCAGAAGATTCCTTGTATATTACCAAGAATTTATTTCATGTGTAGTATTATTTTAAACATACATTATTTGCTAAATAACAGAAGGACTCCATGTTTTTATGCTTTTTCGTATTTTTAATAAAATTGACCATCTTGAGACATGTGAGGTTAAAAGTATGGTAGAGAGCATTGGAGGTTTGGGGAAAACATCCTCACAGGGCCTTAAGTCAGTTCTAAAATCATCAACATTCCCCCATGACAAATTTGACTTACCTCTATAATTATTATGTTTTCTAATTAATGAATATTTCACCAAATCAATATGTTTTCAAATTAATGGATTTCCCTTAAGAATGAAGTAGACACTGAACTTTTCATAAGAGTAGAGATATTTATTTTATAAGATGAAAAAATGAATGTTTCAATTCTTACTGTTAAGAAAAACCTCCATTCATATTTTCTTACTAATTTTTTTAACCATGATAAACAACAGGCACACCTGGGGCAACATCTGCATCCACGTCTGAAGGGGCAGGGAGCAGGACTACTTTACCTGCAAGTACCGGAGCTCCAGGCTCAGGTAAGACTCTAGCCTTTGTCATGGCTAGACATGTCAAAGATGTCTCGGCTGCTCATCCGTTCCCATGCAGCCTCAGGAGATGGTGTGAAAATTGCCCTGTATGTGTGCGTGAAATTCATGGCACAGAATATGGTAGAAGAATGTATCTTTTCAAGTTTTAACTTGCAAGTCCATTCATATAAGTAAGGATGTCTGGAATCATATGAGTCTCCAACATGCATGTTTCCCTGTTGTAGGGAGCACAGTGACATCCTCAGGCCACACAACCATCATTCAAGCCTCCAGTCTATCCTCAGCCTCTGCCAGCAGCAAACCAGGTAAGTAACAGAGAGGAGGCTATGAATTCTCAGAGGTCAAATGGAGGGGTGTTAATCTCCATTTACCCTTATGGAAATGCTGGAATTGTATGTATATTACAAGGCTATGAGTCCTCAGGTGACAAATGAGGAGTGATTATATCATCATTTATTCATAAGGAAATGCAGGAATTCCTTATGTAGTTAGGGAAAGGGAGCTAGCATGTGAGAGAGGACTGCATTAGTTGATGTTTCTCTTATCTCATCCCATTAAGAGGTTGCTAATGTGTACTTTGGACAGTGATGGCCCTGATTTCTTCTTTGGAGCCTGAGGGTGGTACTGGGTCATGAGGATTAATGTTTATTATTCTGATCCTAAGTTAGTTAATATCAGGTAGAAACATTCTGAGTGTTTTCTTTTTCAGGGATATTAACAGTTTTTTCTTATATGAAGTGCCCAGGCAGAAATATATCTGAAAGAACCATTGGGTTTTAATAAGCCTACGAGTACTAGATTCAAATACATGACTCAAAAGGAGGTAGACAACCATATTTCCCCATGCAGAATAAAAAGCCTAGCATAGCTTCTTCCATATCATATGAAATTTACAAAGATTGAAGCAGCAATAGGAACTATACATAAATTAGTGAAGACATTGGTCATCGCTGATCAGTGTGGTCTACTGCTTCTTTATTGTCATGACATTCTGTTTCTTTGAAAGCAATGACTGCATCATCAACAGGAACAACTAGATCCCCAAGCAGTGAGCAGACCCCATCTGAAGTCAGTGCAGGTGAGATTACTGTGTTTCCTGGAGAGGGTCATGCTGTGGCTGAAAATGCAGGGAGAGATTTTTAAGAAATGAGTTGAAAATAACACTCTAGAGAGAAACATTCCATAAAGACTCTACTGTGAGATGTGGTGAGGATGCTGGGCTATGACATAGAACACCAGTGTCTTAATGTCAAACAAGTCAATATGTACAATTTCACTCATGTCCAATAAGTCAGTGAGTTTTATGAAGGATAGTCTGGATAATCCAAGTATTTGTGATAGCTCATTAAATATATGGAAATAAAGACAAGGAAGGAATACAAGGAAGTTAATTGAAAGCATTAGCTTCCTGAACTGTACCCCTTATCAAACATCCTGATAATCAATTATTGCTCACATTGAAAGAAAATACTACATCATCATATGGGGACATATCTGGAGCCTCAAGCATGGAAATGAATCTGCACAAAGACAAGTCAATTGAGTTCAGGCTGATGTGAGGAAGTCATGGGTTTTGCCAAACTGGATCCCTTTGCCATTACCCAGCTCATTTAAATCAAATTACAAAATTTGATAGACATTTGAGGACTAAAGTAAGACAGAGAACAATGTCATTTTTAAGAGGCTTTCTCCTCCCTAGTAAGTTAAGGCTTTTGATAACATGACACTGGGTTCAAAGGGTAGACATGATTGAGCAGAAAAATCCCTGGACTTACTCCTTCTCATCACATGAAACTGGATGATGTTCCTCCTTCCAAGTAGAAGGACAGACAGACTTCAGATAAGTGACAGAGATGCAACAAAAGACTCATGCCCAGGCACATTTGAAAGTATCCAGTTTATAAAGGAATGCCTGGACAGTGGGTGTTGTCCCAGGAGAGATAAGAATTCTGCATTTGGAAAGCATTTGTCCTACACACTTTGAAAATTTGTCATATTACTGTTTTGTAAGAGATCCTTGAGAGCAAATGAGAGGTTAGTCTCTGGGGATGCAGAGGCTCAGATTGGAACTTGGGTTTGCTCTAAGCTACAAGGACAACACAACAACTCATGGTAACATATCCAACAGCTGGGAAGAATAAGATTTCCTAGCCAGACAATTTACTTGTGTCATTATTCCTAAGGAAGATAAAAATGTCATTTGTGTTCAGGATCCTTAGTCCCTGATGAACCCACAAGAGACAGAGGAAGCAGCACACCCAGGGAATCCAGCAGCAGTGCTAAAATCCAAGGAGCCTCGGGTCAGTTAGAACAGGAATTTCAGGTAGAGGTGAAACAGATAGGCTGCTGGGCAAAGTACAGACTTGTTCACCTTGTAGATATAGAATTGTCTCCCTTCTGAGTACTACTAAATGTTTCCAGCATGGCTCCTTTGCTTTGCCTGCACAACAGGGCAGTCTGTAGAGGTTACCACAAGAGCAGATAGGGAACCCAAGACACAGAAGTCACCACTGAAAGCCCAGCAAGCAAGATAAGAACTCAATGGTGGTCTGTGTCAGGGACTTATGCTAGTGTTGTCCAGAAGAGTTTGTGGTCATTAGTTCAAGGAAAGGCAATGAAGGACTAAAATATAGAACTGCATGAAATATCATCAACCCTGAAATGCTTTGGGTCGATACAGAGGCTGTGGTTTTCTGTAACCTTAAGAAATATCCTGTTCCCATAGAAACAAGACGAGCACTCTGAGCTAGAACGTTTCATTGGTTGCTACCTACCTATTCATTGGTCTTTCCTTCTCTGTTAGTATTTCCTGTGATATGCCCAGAGATGTGGTCCATATGATAACCAGTCCCATGCCATGTTTGCAGAAGATTCTATGTAAATTGCCAAGAATTTATTTTATTTCTAGATTCATTTTAAGCATACCTTATTTGCTAAATAATAGGAGGACTCCATGATCTCATGCAGTTTCTTAATTTTAATAAAATTAATGGTAATGCAACTTGAGCCTAAATGTGTGGTAGGGAATGTCAGGTATGCAAATATACTCATAGTGTCTTAAATCAATTCTAAAATCATCAACATTGCTCCATGACAAATCTGTCTTACCTCCATAATTGTTATGTTTTCTAATTAATGAATAATTCACCAAATCAGTATGTGGTCAATTAATGGATTTTCCTTGAGAAAGAAGTTGACACTGAACTCTTCATGAGATTAGAGACATTCATTTTTAAAGAGGAAAATGGCTATTTCAATCCTTATTTTTAAGAAAAATATCCCTTTAATTTTTCTTACTCATTTTTTAACCATGATAATCAACAGGCACATCTGAGACAACTTCTACATCCACCTCTGGAGGGGCAGGGAGCAGCACTGCTCTACCTGCAAGTACTGGAGCCACAGCATCAGGTAAGACTCTTGAGCCTTTGGAGATGTTTTAGCTGCTCATCCTTTCCCATGCAGCCTCAGAAGATTGTCTAGAAAACTGACTTGTATGTGTGAGTGAAATTCATGCCACTAGATGTGGTGAAAGAATGTGTCTTTCATGTTTTATCCCATAAGTCCATTCATATAAATAAGGTTATCTGGAAACATATTAGTCTCCAACATGCGTGTTTTCCTGTCCTAGAGAGCACAGTCACATCCTCAGGACACACTACTGTCCGTCAGGCCTCCAGTCAATCCACAGGTTCTGCCAGCAGCCAAATAGGTAAAGAATGAGAGGAGGCTATGTGTTCTCTAGTTTCAAATGATGGGTTGGTGATACCACAATTTATTCAAATGAGAATACAGAAATTTCTTCTATATTTAGAAGAAGAAAGTTAGCATCAGAAAGAGGGCAGCATTATCTGATGTTCCTCTTATCTTATCCTGTAATTAGGTTGCTAATGTGTACTTTGGGGCAATGATGGCCCTGAATCTTTCCTTGGCACTTTAGGACACCGAGTCATGAGGGCTAAGGATTACTATCCTGACTCTAAGTTAGCATCAAGTAGAAACATTCTGAGTATCATCTTTTTTGTGGTTATTAAATGTGTTTTCATATAAGAATCAGCACACAGGCAGAAATATATCTGAAAGACACAGTTGGTTTCAATAAGCATATGAGTACTGGATTCAAATACATGATTAAAAAGAAATTAGACAATTTTTAAGCAAATCAAAAAGCCTAGCAAAACTTCCTCCATATCATATGAAATTTACAAAGATTGAAGCAGCAACAGAAAATATACCTAAAATTAATGAAGACTTTCAATAACACAGAGCAGTGTTGTCTAGAGCTGCTCACATTCTTGACATTGTGTTTCTTTGACAGTAACCACTGGATCATCAGCGGGAACAACTAGATCCCCAAGCAGTGAACAGACCCCATCTGAAGTCAGTACAGGTGAGTTGCGGCTGTGTCCAGGACAGGCTCATGCTTTTGACAAAGATGCAGAGAGATTTTTAAGAAATAAACTGAAAATAGGAGGCTGAAGAGATCCATCTCATAAAGGTCCTACACTGGGCTCTCATGTAGTTGCAGAGCTATGACAGAACTCCAGTGCTTAATGTCAAACTAGTCAATGTGTACAAGTTCATTCACACCCAATAGGTCAGTGAGTTCTCTGAGGATATATTAGTTCATGAAAGATTTTGTGATTGTTTAATGAAAATAGGGACATAGAGAATGATGGAATTTAAGAAAAATAATTGAAAGCTTTAGCATTCAGATTTATACATCTGAATCAAACATCCTGATAGTAAGTTATTGTTCATCTTTAAAGGGCCTACTGTACCATCAGCTATGGAAACATCTGGTGCCCCAAGCAGTGAATCGACCCAGCCTTCAGACAAGTCAAGTAAGTACACGCTGATGTGAGGATGTCATGGGTTTTTACAAAATGGATCACCTTACCACAACCCAGCTCATTTTAAATTAAAGTGCAAACTTTAGATGGACATTTGAGGACTTAAGTTAAATGGAGAACAATATCATTTTGAGGCTTTTTCCTCCCTAGTGAGGTAAGCCAAGGCATTTGATAACATGACACTCAGTTCAAAGTATAGACCTGATTGAATAGAAAAATCACTAGATTATTTTTTCCCATCATATAAAACTGTGATGTCATTCTACCTTCCAAGTAGAAGGACAGACAGACTCAACAGAGGAGGCAGAAAATCAGCAAAAGCCTAATGCCCAGTCACATTTCCAGAGTATCCAATCTCTAAAGGAACATATCAACACTGGGTTTTTTCCTAGGAGGAGGTGAAAACTCTCGTGTTTTAGAGAGTAGCTTTTAGCACACTTCTGAAATTTGTCAAATTACTGTTTTGCCACAGAACATTGAGAGCCAATGAGAGGTTAGACTCTGGGGTTGGTGAGGCAGATATTGGGTCCAGGGTCTGCTCTAGGCTAAAAGGACAACATAACAACTCATGGGAACTTATCCAACAATTGGACAGAATACAAATTCCTGGCCAGACTTTTTGTTGTGTCTTTTTTTTTAGATGTCATTTCTATCTGGGAACCTTAGTCCCGGCTGAACCCACAAGTGACAGGGGAATCTAAACACCCACGGGAGCCACTAGCCCTGTTAAAATTCAAGGAACCTCAGGTCATTTAGAGCAGGAAATTCATTAGTAGCAACTCAGTCTGTAGATGTGATACAGGCAGGCTCCTGGGCAAAGCACAGACTTGTTCACCTAGTGAGGTATAGGATTGAACCTCTCCTTGTCTCCCCTCTGAGGACTAGTAAGTGTTTCCAGCATGGATCCTTTGCTTTGCCTGAACAACAGCACAATCTGTGGGAGTTACCACAAGAACAGACAGGGAGGCCACACCTGTCACCCAAGGCACAGAAGTCAACACTGGAAGCCCAGCAGGCAAGATAAGACCTCAATGGTGGTCTGTGTCAGGGACTCATGCCAGTGTTGTCCAGAACTGTTTGTGATCATTAGTTGAAGGAAAGGTGATGAAGGAGCAGAGTGGAGAACTTCATGACATGAAGTTAACTCTGAAATGCTTTGAGTCTTCTGAGCCCATTGTTATCTGTGACCTTAAGAAACATTCCTGTTTCCATAAAAACAAAAGGAGGGACACATGGAGATATGAGAAATTATTGTTTGTCACCTACCTTTACATTGGGCTTTTCTTCTCTGTTAGTATCCCCTGAGATATGCCCAGATACAAGGTCCAAATGATAACCAGTCCCATGCCACGTCTGCAGAAGATTTAGTGGATATTGAAAAGATTTAATATTATGTCTAGTATTTTAAGCATACATTATTTCCTAAATAAAAGTAGGACCCCACGATCTCATTCATTTTCATATTTTTAATAAAATTGATCATCATGAGACATGTGAGGCTAAAAGTATGGTACAGAGCAGTCAGGTGGGGAATGATGCCCATAGGGTCTTAAGTCAGTTCTAAAATCATCAACATTCCTCCATGACAAATTTGAATTACCTCTATAATTATTATGTTTTCAAATTAATGAATATTTCCCCAAATCAGTATGTTGTCAGGTAATGGATTCTCCTGAGAAAGAAATTGACACTGAACATTTTATAAGAGTAGAGACATTCATTTTGTAAGAAGAAAAAAATGGTTATTTCAATTCTTTGTTTTCAGCAAAACCTCCCTTTAATTTTTCTTACTCATTTTTTTAACCATGATAAACAACAGATACACCTGTGGCAACTTCTGCATCCACTTCTGGAGGAGCAGGGGGTAGCACCTCTCTACCTGCAAGTACTGGAGCCCCAGCATCAGGTAAGACTCTTTAGCCTTCAGAGATGTCTTAGCTACTCATCTATTCCTATGGAGCCTCAGGAGATGGTCTGGAAAATGACCTGTATGTGTGGTGTGGTGGGAGAATGTGTCTTCTCGTGTTTTATCCTGCAAGTCCATTCATATAAATAAGGATGTCTGGAATCATATGAGTCTCCAACATGCATGTTTTCCTGTCCTAGAGAGCACAGTGACATCCTCAGGACACACTACTGTCCCTCAGGCCTCCAGTCAATCCACAGCTTCTGCCAGCAGCAAAGCAGGTGAGGAAAGAGAGGAGGCTATGAGTTCTCAGAGGTCAAATGGAGAGTCGTTATATTCCCTACATTTATATAGAAATGTAAGAATGGCATGTATGTTACAAGGCTATGAGTCTTCATGTGACAAGTGAGGGGCTGGTTGTATCACCATTTATTCAAAGGGCAATGCAGGAATTCCTTGTATATTTAGAGAAATGAGCCAGCATTAGAATGAGGACTTCATTAGTTGATGTTTCTCTTATTCCAAAGTACACTGCTAACATGTTTTTGGGCAATAGTGGCCCTGATTTTTTCCTTGGTAATTTTGGACACTGAGTCATGAGGGTTACTATCATGACTCTAACTTAGCCTGAAGTAGAAAAATTCTTAATATCCTCTTTACATGGTTATTTTATGTGTTTTCATATAGGAAGCTAATAGGCAGAAATATATCTGAAAGATCCAGTTGGTTTCAAAAAGCCTATGAGTACTGGATTCAAATAGATGAATAAAAAAGAGGTAGACAACCATATTTCCACACACAAAAAAAAAAGCCCAGCAAAGCTTCCTCCATATCATATGAAATTTACAAAGATTAAGGCAGCATTAGGAACTATATAAACTAGTGAAGACACTGGTCATCATAGATCAGTGTGGTCTACTGCTGCTTCATAGTTATGACATTGTGTTTCTTTGAAAGCAATGACTGCATCATCAGTAGGAACAACTAGATCCCCAAGCAGTGAGCAGACCCCATCTGAAGTCAGTACAAGTGAGATGAGGCTGTTGTTGTGTACAACTGGAGAGGCTGATGTTGTGGCTGAAGATGGAGGGAGAGATTTTTAAGAAATGAGTTGAATATAGCATTCTAGGAAGAAACATTACATAAAGAATCTACTAAACTGTGATGAGGATGCTGAGCTATGATAAAGAACTCCAGTGTCTTAATGTCAAACAAGTCAATATGTACAAGTTCCCTCATATCCAAAATGTCAGTGAGTTCTCTGAAGGATGGTCTGGGTCATCGAAGTACTTGTGATAGCTTGTCGAAAAGGTGGAAATAAGAGAGATTGAAGGAATATAAGGAAGATTATTGAAAGCATTAGCATCTGGATCTATATATCATACATCCTGATAATCAATTATTGTTCACAATTGAAGGACCTACTACACTATCAGCTGGGGAAACATCTGGATCCTCAAGCAGTGATTTGAACCTGTATTAAGACAAGTCAATTGAGTATAGGCTGATATGAGGAAGACATGGATTTTGACAAAGGATCACCTTACTATTACCGAGCTTACATAAATCAAATTAGAAAGTTTAGATTCACATTTGAGAACTAAATTAAAAGAGAGAGCAATGTCATTTTTAAGAGGCTTTCTCCTCCCTGGGGGCAGTAAGACAAGTCTCTTTATAACATTACATTAGGATCAAAGGGTAGACATGATTGAACAGAAAATGTCACTGAACTCATTCCTCTTCATCAAATTAAACTGGATGGTGTTCCACCTTCCAAGTAGAAGGACAGACAGACTTCAGATAAGACACAGAGTTGAGTGAAAAGACTCATGCGCAGGCACATTTCCAAAGTAATCAATCTCTAAAGGAATGCCTGGACAGCGGGTCTTGTCCTAGGAGAGAGATAAAGCTCTGGTTTTGGGAAAGTATTTGCCTAACACACTTTGGAAATTTGTCATATTACTGTTTTGCAAAAGACCCATCAGAGCAAATGAGAGGTTAGATTCTGAGGAGGCAGAGGCTCATGTTGGAGTCTGGGTCTGCTCTAAGTTACAAGGACAGCATAACAACTTATGGGAACATGTTCAACAGTTGGGCAGCATAAGATTTCCTGTCCAGACTTTTTTCTCGTGTCATTATTCCTAAGGAAAATAATAATGTCATTCGTGTCTCAGGATCCTTAGCCCCTGCTGAGCCCACAAGTGACAGAGCAGACAGCACACCCAGGGGACCCAGCAGCAGTGCTAAATTCCAAGGAAACTTGAGTCTATTAGAGCAGGACCTTCATTAGTAGCAATTCTGTGGGTAGAGAGGAAACATGTAGGTTGCTGGGCAAAGTGCAGACCTGTTCACCTAGTGAGATATAGAATTGAACCTCTCCATGTCTCCCTTCTGAGGACTAGTAAATGTTTCCAGCATGGCACTTTTGCTTTGCAGACACAACAGGACAGTCTGTGGGAGTTACCACAAGAGCAGACAGGGAGGCCACACCTGTCACCCAAGGCACAGAAGTCACCACTGGAAGCCCAGCAGGCAAGATAAGATCTCAGTGGTGGTCTGTGTCAGGGACCACCTGAAAGGCAATGAAGGACTGAAATATAGGACTGCATGAGATGAGGTCAACTGTGAAATGCTTTGGGTCCATACTGAGGCTGTTGCTTTCTGTGACCTTAAGAAATATTCTGTTTCCATAGAAACAAGAGGATGAGCACATTCAGCTAGCACAGCTCATTGGTTGCTACCTACCCATTCATTGGTCATTCCTTCTCTGTTAATATTCCTTGAGATATGCCCAGAGATGAGGTCCATATGATAACCAGTCCCATGCCATGTTTGCAGAAGATTCCATGTATATTGCGAAGGATTTACTTTATTTCTAGTATCATTTTAAGCATACCTTATTTGCTAAATAATAAGAGGTTCCATGATCTCATTCATTTTCTTAATTTTAATGAAATTAACAGTCATGAGACATGTGAGTCTAAAAGTGAGGTAGAGAGCAGCCAGGTGGGCAAAGATGCTTACATGGTTTTAAGTAAGTTCTAAAATCATCAATATTACTCCTTGACAAATTATGTTTTCTAATTAATGAATATTTCACCAAATCCATATGTTGTCAGGTAATGGATTCCCTTGAGAAAGAATTTGATAATGAACTTTTTGTAAGAGTGTAGACATTCATTTTTTAGGAGGAAAAATTATTGTTTCAAATTTATTTTAAGAAAAACCTCACTTTATTTTTACTTACTCACTTTTTTTTTTAACCATGATAATCAACAGGCACACCTGGGGCAACTTCTGCATCCACCTCTGGAGGCGCAGGGAGCATCACTGCTCTACCTGCAAGAACTGGAGCCCCAGCATCAGGTAAGAATCTTTAGCCTTTGGAGATGTCTCAGCTGCTCATCCATTCCTGTGCAACCTCAAGAGATGGTGTAGAAAATTGACTGTATGTATGAGTAAAATTCATGCCACTGGATGTGGTAGAAGAATGTGTCTTTCATGTTTTATCCCATAAATCCATTCATATAAATAAGGATGTCTGGAATCATATGAGTCTACAACATGCATGTTTTCCTTTCCTAGAGAGCGCAGTGACATCCTCAGAACACACTACTGTCGCTCAGGCCTCCAGTCAATCCACAGCTTCTGCCAGCAGCCCAGCTGGTAAGAAAAGAGAGAAGGCTATGACTTCTCATGTGTCAAATGGAGGGTTGTTAATTTCCCTTAATTTATATAGAAATGTAAGCATGGCATGTGTATGACAAGGCTATACGTCCTCAGGTGACTAGTTTGAGGCTGGTTATATAACCATTTATTCAAAGGGAAATGCAAGAATTCCTTGTATATTTAGAGAAATGAGCTAGCATCTGAAAGAAGACTGCATTAAGTGATGTTTCTCTTATCTTGTTCTGTAATTAGGTTGCCAATTTGTTCTTTGGGGCAATGATAGCTCTGATTCCTTCCTTGGGACTTTTGGACAATGAGTCATGAGGGCTAAGGATTTCTATCCTGACTCTAAGTTAGTGTCAAGTAGAAACATTCCAAATGTCTTCTTTTTCATGGTTATTAGATGTGTTTTCATATATGAATCAGCACACAAGCAGAAATAAATCTGAAAGACTCAGTTGGTTTCAATAAGCATATGAGTACTGGATTCAAATAGATGAATAAAAAGAAAGTAGAGAATCATATTTACAAACAAATAAAAGAGCCTAGCAAAGCTTCCTTCATATCATATGAAATTAACAAAGATTGAAGCAGCAATAGGAACTACTCATAAATTAATGAAGACTTTCAATAACACAGAGCAGTGTGTTCTAGAGCTGCTCACATTCTTGATATTGTGTGTTTTTTTTTTAAGTAACCACTGGATCATCAGCGGGAACAACTAGATCCCCAAGCAGTGAGCAGACCCCATCTGAAGTCAGTGCAGGTGAGTGGAGGCTGTGTCCAGGACAGGCTCATGCTTTTGACAAAGATGCAGAGAGATTTTTATTAAATAAACTGAAAGTAGGTAGATGAAGAGACCCATCTCATAAAGGTTCTACACTGGGCTCCCATGAGGTTAAAGAGCTATGACATAGAACTCCAGTGTTTTAATGTCAAACTAGTCGATGTGTACAAGTTCATTCACACCCAATAAGACAGTGAGTTCTCTGAGGATATATTAGTTTTTGACAGATTTTGTGATTGCTTAATGAAAATAGGGAGATAGAGAATGATGGAATTTAAGAAAAATAATTGAAAGCATTTGCATTCAGATCTATACATCTGAATCAAAATCCTTATAGTAAATTATTGTTCATTTTGAAAGAGCCTACTGTACCATCAGCTGGGGAAACATCTGGTGCCCCAAGCAGTGAATCGACTCAGCCTTCAGACAAGTCAAGTAAGTACATGCTGATGTGAAGATGTCATGGGTTTTTACAAAATGGATTGCCTCACCACAACCCAGCTCATTTTAAGTCAAAGTCCAAACTTTAGATGGACATTTGAGGACTAAAGTTAAATGGAGAACAATATCATTTTGTTTCTTTCTCCTCCCTAGGGCAGAAAGCCAAGGCATTTGATAACGTGACACTGGGGTAAAGGGTAGACATGATTGAATAGAAAAATCACTGGACTTATTCCTTCTCATCATATAAAACTGGCATGTCATTCTACCTTCCAAGTAGAAGGATAGACAGACTCAACAGAGGAGGCAGAGATGCAGCAAAAGCCTCATGCTCAGGCACATTTCCAGAGTATCCAGTCTCTAAAGGAACATATCAACACTGGGTGTTTTCCTAGGAGGAGGTGAAAACTCTTGTGTTTTAGAGAGTAGCTATTTAGCACACTTTTGAAATTTGTCAAATTACTGTTGTGCCACAGAACATTAAGAGCCAATGAGAGGTTAGACTATGGGTTTGGGGAGGCAGATATTGGGTCCAGGGTCTGCTCTAGGCTAAAAGGACAACATAACAACTCATGGGAACTTATCCAACAGTTGGACAGAATACAAATTCCTGGCCAGACTTTTTGTTGTGTCATTTTTTTCTAAGAAAAATATAAATGTCATTTGTGTCTGGGCACCTTGTTCCCTGCTGAATCCACAAGTGACAGGGGAATCAGAGCACCCAGGGGACCCACTAGCTGTGTTAAAATTCAATTGAACTCGGGTCAGTTAGAGCAGGAACTTCATTAGTAGCAATTTGGTGGGTAGAGATGAAAGGGGTAGGCTACTGGGCAAAGCACAGACTTGTTCACCTAGTGAGGTATAGAATTGAACCTCTCCATGTCTCCCTTCTGAGGACTAGTCAGTGTTTCCAGCATGGCTCCTTTGCTTTGCAGGCACAGCTGGACAGTCTGTGGGAGTTACCACAAGAACAGACAGGGAGGCCACACCTGTCACCCAAGGCACAGAAGTCACCTCTGGAAGCCCAGCAGGCAAGATAAGATTTCAATGGTGGTCTGTGTCAGGGACTCATGCTAGTGTTGTCCAGAACTGTTTGTGATCATTAGTTGAAGGAAAGGTGATGAAGGAGCAGAGTGTAGAACTTCATGACATGAGGTCAACTCTGAAATGCTTTGGGAGGCTTCTGAGGCCATTATTATCTGTGACCTTAAGAAACATTTCTGTTCCCTTAGAAACTAGAGGAGGGGCACATGGAGATATGACAACCCATTGGTTGTCACCTACCTATACATTGGTCTTTCTTTCTCTCTTAATATCCTCATTGATAGGCCCAGATATGTATTCCCAATGACAACTAGTCCTATGCCACATTTGCAGAAGATTCAATGTATATTGACAAGAATTTATTTTGTGTCTAGTTTCATTTTAACCACATATTAATTGCTAAAAAATAGGAAGTCTCCAAGGTGTCCTACACTTTCATATATTTTATAAAATTAACAGTTATGGAGACATGTGAGCCTAAACGTATGGTGGAGAGCAGTCAGGTGAACAAGATTCTTACATAGTCTTAAGCCATTTCTAAAATCATCTGCAATTCTTCTTGAGGAATTTGGCTTACCTCTGTAATTATTATGTTTTCTAATCAATGAATATTTAACCAAATCAGCATGTTGTCAAATTGATGGAATCCCTTTGAGAAAGAAATTAACAGTGAACTTATTTTTTTTTATAAAGCAGACACATTTATTTTTAAGGAGTAAAATGGCTATTTCAATTCTTATTTTTAAGAAAAAACTCTAATTTTTCTTACTTTTTTTTTAAACTATGATAATCAACAGTAACACCTGGGGCAACTTCTGCATCCACCTCTGGAGGAGCAGGGAGCAGCACTGCTCTACCTGCAAGAACTGGAGCCTCAGCATCAGGTAAAAATCTTTAGCCTTTGGAGATGTCTCAGCTGCTCATCCATTCCCAGGCCTCTTCAGGTGATGGTCTGGAAATTTGATATGTTTGTATGAGTAAAATTCAAGGCAGAGCAGGCAATGCAAGAATATATTTTCTCATGTTTTTTTACTCAAGTCCATTCATATAAATGGGGTTGTCTGGAGTTATTTAAATTTCAACACCCAGATTATTTGATTTCCTTTGAGAAATTAGTATTTTGTCAAAATATTTGTTTCTCTGAGAAAGACTTTGACATTAAAGTTCATAAGGGTAAACACTTTCACATCATAAGTGGGTAAAAAGCTGTTTTGGTTCTTCTTAATATAATATCCCTATCAATTTTCTTATTTATCCTTTTTCCACAATAAAATTCAGGCACACCTGGCACATCATCTGGATCCACCTCAGGAGGGGAGGAAAGCAGCACCCCTCTACCTGCAGATACTGGAGCCCCAGGTTCAGGTAAGACTCTTTTGCCTTTAGAGATGTCTCAGCCCCTCATCCATTCCCATGCTGCCTTGGGAGATGATCTGGAAAATTAACCTGTTTGTGTGAGTGAAATTCATGGCATTGGATGTGGTGAAGAATGTGTCTTCTCGTGTTTTATCCTTCAAGTCCATTCCTAGAGATAAGGATGTCTGGAATCATATGAGTCTCCAACATGCATGCTTTCCTGTTGTAGGGAGCACAGTGACATCCTCAGGCCATACAACCATCCTTCAAGCCTCCAGTCTATCTCCTGCCTCTGCTAGCAGAAAACCAAGTAAGTAAAAGAGGAGGCTATGAGTTTTCAGAGGTCAAATGGAGGGCTGTCAATCTCCATTTACTTTTATGGAAATGCATGAATGGCATGTATATTACAAGGCTGTGAGTCCTCAGGTGACAAATGAGGGGCTGGTGATTTTGAAACTGTTGTTATATGTAACCATAGGAACAAAAGGAGGAGCACATGGAGATATCACAACTCATTGGTTGTCACCTACCTATACATTGGACTTTCCTTCTCCATTAGTATCCCCAGAGATATGCCCAGAGATGTCCAAATGATAATGAGTCCCATGCCAAGTTTGCAGAAGATTGGATGTATATTGATAAGAATTTATTTCGTGTCTAGTATCATTTTAAGCATATATTATTTATTAAATAATAGGGGAACTCCATGATCTCCATCATCTTCTTAATTATAATAAAATTAAAAGTCATGAGACACGTGAGTCTAAAATTATGATGGAGAATAGTCTGGAGGACAAAGATGCTCACAGGGTCTTAAATCAGTTCTAAAATCATCAACATTCTTCAATGACAAATTTGACTTACCTCCATAATTATTTTGTTTTCTAATTAATGAATATTTAAGCAGATCAGTAACTTATTAAATTGATATCCCTTCAGAATTAAGTTGCTATTGAGACTTCCGTTTTATAACAGGAAGCAAATGACTATTTCAATTTTTATTTTTCAGAATAAACTCCCTTTAATTTTTTTTACTCATTTTTTTTTAACCATGATAATCAACAGGCACACCTGTGGCAACTTCTGCATCCACCTCTGGAGAGGCAGGGGGCAGCACAGCTCTACCTGCAAGGACTGGAGCCCCAGGTTCAGGTATGAATCCTTTATCTTTGGAGATCTCTTAGCAGCTCATTCATTCCCATGATGCCTCAGGTGATGGTCTGGAAATTTGATCTGTATGTGTGAGTATAATTCAGGGCAGAGCAGGCAATGCAAGAATGTGTCTTCTCATGTTTTATTATTCAGTACCATTCATACAAATGGGGATATCTGAATTCCTCTTAGTTTCAACATCCAAATTATTTCATTTCCTTTGAGAAATCAAAATGTCGTCAAATTATTTGATTTCCCTTGAGAAAGAACTTGTCATTAAAGTGATAAGGGTAGACACTTTCACTTCATAAGAGGGGGGAAAAGACTATTTTAATTCTTATTCCTAAGAAAATCTCCCTATCAATTTTCTTCTTTATCTTTTTTAACCACAATAAATATTAGGCACACCAGGGGCATCATCTGGAACCACCTTGGGAGGGACTGGGAGCAGCACGCCTCTTCCTACAAGTACTGGAGCCCCAGGTTCAGGTGAGACTCTTTAGTCTTTGGAGATATCTTACCAGCTTGTGCATTCCCATGCTACCTCAGATCTGGTCTGGAAAATTGCCCTGTATATGTGAATAAAATTCATGGCACTGAATGTGGTAGAAGAATGTGTCTTCTCATGTTTTATCCATCAAGTCCATTCATATAAATGAGGATGTCTGGAATCATATGAGTCCCCAACATGCATATTTTCCTGTTGTAGGGAGCACAGTGTCATCTTCAGGCCACACAACCACCCTTCATTCCTCCAGTCTATCTCCAGCCTCTGCCAGCAGCAAAACAGGTAAGTAAAAGAGAGAAGGCTCTGAGTTCTCATGTGTCAAATGGGGGACTTAATATATCTCCATTTACTTATATGGAAATGCAGAAATAACGAGTATATTATAAGGGTATGAAGCCCCCGGTGAGAAATGAGAGTCTAGCTATATCACCATTTATTTATAAAGGAATACAAGAATTCCTTGTCTATTTAGAGAAAGGGAGCTAACATCAGAAAGAGGACTGCATTAGTTGATGTTTCTATTATCTCATCCCATAGTTAGGTTGCTAATGTGTACTTTGGGACAGTGATGGTCCTTGGAGCTTAAGGGCACTGAGTCATGAAGATTAATGCTTATTATACTGATTCTAAGTTACTTAATATCAAGTAGAAACATTCTGAATGTTTCCTTTATCAGGATTATTAACTTTTTTTTTTCTTATATGAAGTACCAGGGCAGAAATACATCTGAAAAACCCAGTTTGTTTCAATAAGCATATGAGTACTGGATTCAAGTTGATGAATAAAAAGGAGGTAGACCATCATATTTCCATGCAGGCTCAAAGAGCCTAACAAAGCTTCCTCCATATCATATGAAATTTACAAAGATTGAAGTAGCAACAGGAACTATACATTAATTAAGTAAGATGATGAACATCACAGAGTAGTGTGTTCTACTGCTGCTCACATTCATGACATTGTGTTTCTTTGACAGTAACCACTGGATCGTCAGCAGGAACCACTAGATCCCCAAGCAGTGAGCAGACACCATCTGAAGTCAGTGCAGGTGAGTTGAGGCTGTTACCTGGAAAAGCTCATGTAGTGGTAGAAGATACAGAGAGAGATTTTTAAGAAATAAGCTGAAAATAGGAGTCTGGAGAGATCCTTAAGGTCCCTACTACAGGCTCTGATAAGAATGATGAGCTTTGACACAGAACTACAGTGTCTTAATGTCAAACAAGTCAATATGTACAAGTTCCCTCATATCCAAAAAGTCAGTGTGTTCTCTGAAGGATGGTCTGGGTCATCTAAGTACTTGTGATCACTTGTTGAAAAAATGGAAATAAAATATAATGAAGGAATCTAAGGAAGATAATTAAAAGCATTAGCATCCTGACTTGTACCCCTGTATCAAACACCCGGATAATCAATTACTGCTCACATTGAAAGGAACTACTACACCATCAGCTGGGGAAACATCTGGAGCCCCAAGCAGTGAATCGCCCCAGCCTTCAGACAAGTCAAGTGAGTACTGACTGATGTGAGGAAGTCATGGGTTTTGATAAAGTGGATTGCCTTACCATTACTCAGCTCATTTAAATCAAAGTACAAAGTTTACATTGACATACAAGGACTAAAGTAAAGGAGAGGACATCACATTTTTAGGAGTCTTTCTTCTCCCTGGGGCAGTAAGCCAAGGCTATTGACAACATGACACTGGCTTCAAAGGGTAGACATAATTGAACAGAAAAATCATTGGACTTTTTCCTTCTCATCATATGAAACTGGCTGATGTTCCACATTTTAAGTAGAAGGACAGACAGGCTTAAGAGGGGAAGTAGAGATACATCAAAATCCTCATGCCTGGGGACATTTCCAGAGTATTCAGTCTATAAAGGAATGCCTGGACAGTAGGTATTGTCCTAGGAGATTGAGATAGCTCCAGATTTGGGGAAGTATTTGTCTAACACACTTTGGAATTTTGTCATGTTACTGTTTTGCCAGAGATCCTTGAGAGCAAAGGAGAGGTTAGTCTCCACGGATGCAAAAGCTCAGTTTGGGTCCTGCGTCTGCTATCAGCTACAAGGACAACATAACAGCTCATGGGAACTTATCCAACAGTTGGGAAGGTTAAGTTTCCTGGCCAGACAATTTACTTGTGTCATTATTCCTAAGGAAGATAAAAATGTCATTCGTGTCTCAGGATCCTTAGTTCCTGACGAACCCACAAGAGACAGAGGAAGCAGCACACCCAGGGAATCCAGCAGCAGTGCTAAAATCTAGTTAGAACAGGAATTTCAGGTAGAGGTGAAACAGACAGGCTGCTGGGCAAAGTACAGGCTTATTGACTGAGTGAGGTGTAGAATTGAACCTCTCCTTGTCTCCCCTCTGAGGACTAGTAAGTGTTTCCAGCATGGATCCTTTGCTTTGCAGGCACAACAGCACAATCTGTGGGAGTTACCACAAGAACAGACAGGGAGGCCACACCTGTCACCCAAGGCACAGAAGTCACCTCTGGAAGTCCAGCAGGCAAGATAAGATCTCAATGGTGGTCTGTGTCAGGGACTCATGCTAGTGTTGTCCAGAACTCTTTGTGATCATTAGTTGAAGGAAAGGTGATGAAGGAGCAGAGTGTAGAACTTCATGACATGAGGTCAACTCTGAAATGCTTTGGGAGGCTTCTGAGGCCATTGTTATCTGTGACCTTAAGAAACATTGCTGTTCCCATAGAAACATGGAGCTAGCACAAACAGTTGATTGTCACCTACCTGTACATTGGGATTTCCTTCTCTGTTAATTTTCTCAGAGATATGCCCAGGAAATGTGTGCCAAGTGATAAAAATTCCCACACCAAGTTTGCAGAAGTTTTTATATTTATTGCCAAGTATTTAATTTTGTGTCTTATATCATTTTAAGCACACATTATTTACTAAATAATAGGGACTCCAAGATGACATGCATCTTCATGTTACTTTTTTATAAAATCAACAATCAAGAGACATGTGAGGCTAAAAGTATGGTAGAGAGCAGTCTGGTGGACAAAGATGCTCACAGGGTCTTAAGTCAGTTCTAAAATCATCAGCATTCCTCCATGAGGAATTTCACTTATCTCCATAATTATTATATTTTCCTTTTTTATATTTTAAATTCTTTTTTCCATTTCATATAACAACTGCATTTCCCCCTCCCTCTCCTTCTCCCAAACCCCCTGAACCCCCTACCCTACCCCCATCCACTCTTTGGAGTGGGTAAGGCCCCCATGGTCTAGCCCATCAATTTTAGGCAGGCCCAAGTCCCTTCCCCCTGTACCAAGGCTGAGCAAGGAATTCCACTCTCAGGAGTGGATTCCAAAAAGCCAGTTGATGCACCAGGGATAAATCTAAGACCGACTGCCAGGAGTCTCACATTAAAATAACAATTATTATGTGTACTAATTGATGAATATTTCACGAAATCAGCATGTTGTCAAATTAATGGATTTCTCTTTAGAAAGAAGTTGGCCTTGAACTTTTTGTAAGAGTAGAGATTTTCGTTTTGCAAGGAGGAAAAATGACCATTTCAATTCTTATTTAAAAGAAAAACCTCCCTTTAATTTTTCTTACTTATTTTTTAATTATGATAATCAACAGGCACACCTGGGACAACTTCAGCATCCACCTCTGGAGAGGCAGGGGGCAGCACCGCTCTACCTGCAAGGACTGGAGCCCCAGCATCTGGTAAGAGTCTTTCTTGAGCCTTTGGAGATGTCTCATTTCCTCATCAATTCCCAGGCGGCCTCAGGTGATGGTCTGGAAAATTGCACTGTATGTGTGACTGAAATTCATGGCTTTGGATGTGGTGTAGCATGTGTCTTCTCTGTCTTCTCGTGTTTTATCCTGCAAGTCCATTCATATAAATATGGATGTATGGAATCACATGATTCTCCAACATGCATGTTTTCCTGTCCTAGAGAGCACAGTGACATCCTCAAGACACACTACTGTCCCGCAGACCTCCAGTCAATCCACAGCTTCTGCCAGCAGCAAACGAGGTAAGTAAAGAGAGGAGGCTATGAGTTCTCAGCCATCATATGGAGAGCTGTTAATTTCTGTTTATTTATATAGAATGTAAGAATGGCATGTATATTACAAGACTATGGGTCCTCAGGTAACAAATGAGGGGCTAGTGATATCACCATTTATTCATTAGGGGATGCAGGAATTCCTTATATATTTATAGAAAGGGAGCTAGTATCAAAAAGATGCTTGCATTAGTTAATGTTTCTATTATTCCATAATTAGGTTGCTAATGTGTACTTTGGGCAATGATGGCCCTGATTCCTTTCTTGAAGCTTAAGGCCACTGAGTCATGAGAGCTAACGTTTACTGTCCTGGCTCTAAGTTAGTTAATATCAAGTAGAAACATTCTGAATGTTTTCTTTATCATGGTTATTAAATGTGTGTTTCTTTTTCTTTTTTTTTTTTAAGATTTATTTATTTATTCTGTATGCAGTATCCTGCCTGCATGTATGCCTGCAGGCCAGAAGAGGGCACCAGATCTCATTATAGGTGGTTGTGAGCCACCATTTGGTTGCTGGGAATTGAACCTAGCCAGTGTTCTTAACCTCTGAGCCATCTCTCCAGCCATAAATGTGTTTTCTTATATAAAGTACCCAGGCAGAAATATATCTGAAAGTCCCAGTTGGTTTCAATAAGCATATGAGTACTGGATTCAAATAGATGAATAAAAAGGAGGTAGGCCACCATATTTCCATGCAGAATAAAAAACCCTAGCCATGATTCCTCCATATTATATGAAAAATGAACATGTTCACATCATGATATTTGGTCTTGAACTCTCTATGTCTCCCTTCTGAGAGCTAGTACTTGTTTCTAGCATGGGTCCTTTGCTTTTCAGTCACAACAGGACAGTCTGTGGGAGTTACCAAAGGAGCAGAGGGGAAGACCACGCCTGAGGGTCCTGACACAGGAGTTACCACTGAAAACCCACCAGGCAAGACAGGAATTTTTTTGTGGACTCTGGCAAGGTCTAACACAAGTGTTGCCTAGAAATGTGTGTGATAATGTATTGCAGGAAAGGTGACCAAGGACCACACTGTAGAACTTATTGCCTTGGGAGACTTGTAGCCATCATTGTGACCTTAAAACCATATTTATTCCCTTAGGGACAAGTAGAGGAACACAGGCAGCCAGCACCGGAGCTACTGGTGAAAACACATCTGAAATCGCAGGTACATAGTGATCTGAGCAGGGTTCATGCAGGCAGCCGATAAGTGAGCATTTCACTTATGAGGTAGGATGAGTTTTTGTGGGGAAGCTGACCACTGTCACAGATGTCAGACACTAGTATTCACCTTTCTTTCTGTGAATAAATTCCTGACCAAAGAAGGTAGAAAGGGTTTGATTTTTTACTTTTCTTTCTTTTTTCTTTTTTTTTCCTGCTCACTGTTTTAGGGTCAAATCTGTCATGAAAGGAAATCATTTTTACTTAAGAAAAATTAGCAATTGTGAAGTAAGAATCTAATGTATAAGGTTACAAGCAGTCTTGTATGCAGAAATGCTCACTACCACCCTCCTCCATCATAAGCTTCTGTCAGTGATGAGTTTGACATTACTCATTCACTATGTTTTAATTTTTAAGTCATATTAAATATTAATACTGAAACCTTTGCTGATAAATCAAAATATCAAGACACCCAAAGTAACCTGACCCAATGTCTATACAACTCAATGAACCCCTATACAATTAGAACAGACATTCCACTGGAAGCTGTAGTGTTTCACGTTAAATTTTACAGTTTCAGCATCAAACATAGTATGTTCACTATCTATCACCTAAAACAGAAATCTGTGAGAGAATTAGAACTAGCAATACAGTTGGATTTATGTCCTCTTCCTTAAAACCTTTATTCGCTGCCTTCCATCCTTTCTCATCCCCTTTCACTCAGAATTTCCAGCTCTCTTTCCTTCATGTCATACTGTACCCATGTGAACATTTGTTTATATTTATGCATGCACATTTCATTGGCCAGATCCCAATGAGGAGAGAAAAACATGCAGGTTTTTTGCCTTCTGAGATTGTGTGACCTGGTTTAATATTATATATTCTCATTTAATCTGTTACTTTAAAATTAATTTTCCCCTTCATTTTTCATGAGAGGTGAGCACTATTCCATTTTGTATATATACTGGATTTTCAGTATCCATTCATCAATGGATAGGCAACTCATTTGATATGTTTTATACTTAATGAATATGATTTTAAAGGAATGAGTATATAGAATATGTATACATACATTCATACATATATACACACACATATAATATAATCAATATATAAACTTAAGATGGCATTGATTTTGATACATTTACTTTTGAGAGGGAACAATGTAGTATGTTTCTGTTCACAATCAACATATTTCTTTAGGTTTAAATCTGTTATATGTCTAACAGAAGTTTGGTAGTGAGACTATACCCAGAACTCATAAAACTAAACACCAAGAAACAAGCAACCCAGTTAAACAGAGAGTTTTCAAAATATACAATGCAAATGCTTAAAAGGTATTTTTACATTTATTCAACATCCTTAAAAGAAATGCAAATGAAAACTGCATTGAGATTCTGTCTAACCCTGTTCAGAATGGCTAAGATATAAAAAATGAGAACGAATGTTGATAGGGATAGTGGGAAGGGGACCATGTATTTACTGCTGGGACAGCAAACTGGTTTAGCCGCTGTGGAAATCAATGTGGAGGTTCCTCCAAAACCATGTGATCCAGCTTGATTCTTAGACATTTTTTCAAAGGACTCACATCTTACTACAGAGGTACTTGCTCATCCATGTCCATTGCTGCTCTATTCATATTAGCCAGGGAATGGAAACAGCTTAGATGTCTGTCTACTGATGAATGAATAATGAAAATGTGCTTCATTTAGACAATGGGATAATACACTTACGGTTCTTTTCTTCATCACAATAAATACCAGGCACATCCAAGGGATCATCTGGAACAACCACTGGTATGGCAGGTGGCAGTACCCCTTCAGCTGCAAGTACAGCACCCCCAGGTTCTGGTAAGAGACGGTAGACTGGAGTGCGTCCTTATCACCCCCTCATGTTCCTGATGCAACAGATGATGGCCCATAATCAAATTGAAAGAGTAGTTGAATAAAGGGCTTGGGAGGGGTGTGTAGAACTGCCATTTGTACCTTATTCTAAAAATCTATTAACACCTAATAATGCCATGAATAACACTAGTACTATCCATGTTTTCCTGGACTTAGGGAGCACAGTTGTGCCTTCAGGCCACACTACCACCCCTGGAGTCTCCTCCAACCTGCCCTCAACCTCTGCCAACAGCAAATCAGGTGAGTAAAAGAGAAAAGGCTGTGAGTCTTCAGAAATCAAGCAAAGGGTTGCATATGTTTTCACTCATATCCATGGACGGTAGGAAGAACATGTCTGTCTCAGGGACAGGAAGCCCAGTTCCTGCTCTATATGTCAGGCAGTAGCAGAAGGAGAACTGCATTAGAACCTTATGTCATCATTAGGTTCTTGTGTGTGCTTACGGGTCATGATGATCCCGAGAGTCCTGCCCTGAGTTTAGGGACTCTGAGTTTGGACATCATGGCTTTCTCTGCCAGCTACAAGTTAGCACCAATGAAAAAAATTCAGAACTGTGTCCTTCACAACACCATTAATTGTGGAGCTATGGAAAAGGGGCCTAGGTGGGCATATATCTGAAACATCCAGTTGTTTCTGACAGGCAACTTGTCCCAGGGATCAAAAGCTAATCTTATTTTTTGAAAATTAAAAAAAAAAGTCCAGCAAAGGATTCAAAGCCTCCTATGAGATGTGAGGTTCATGATTTGGGAAGACTGAAGCTGAAGTAGGAAGTACCCACAAATGAATAAGATACTAGGCAGCAGAGACCACCTTGGCCTGCTACGTTGTCACAGTCATAACATCGTGTGTCTTGAAAGGAACAACTGGACCATCAGCTGGAACGACTAGATCCCCAAGCAGTGAGCTGACCTCAACTGAAGGCAACACAGGTGAGTGGAGGCTGTGTCCTGGAGAGGCAGAGGCTGTCTGAAAAATGGAGAGTGCTTTGTCCATACCTTGTGCATTTCATTGAACTGCAGTTGATAAAAATGTATGGACATGAATACACAGATATAGTTGACCCAACTCACGATGCAAAGAGATAGATTTTTGAATAAAAATGAAGCTAAAAGAAATCTGCTAGAAATTTTTATTAAAATATATAGGGAGTTCTGGGCATAGAAATCAGAGAATTTGTTTACTCAAATTTTGATGGAGCTGGGCAGTGGTGGCACATGCCTTTAATCCCAACACTGGGGAGGCAGAGGCAGGTGGATCTCTGTGAGTTGGAGGCCAGCCTGGGCTGCAGAGTGAGTTCCAGGAAAGGCTCTAAAGCTACACAGAGAAACCCTGTCTCAAAAAAAAAAGTCATGGAAAGAGTGATTGCAAGATGAGGTCTTCTAGTAGACGACTTTAGATACGTGGCCCCTTGGTTGTTTTCTCATAGTCTATGGAAACTTCACCTCCCATCACCTCCCTGTTTGGTAGTGTAGATACAATGCCTATACTGAGCCTCAGTATCTTTGATCCTGTACTCCCAGCAGGTAAATTAAATGAAGGGAAAAGAATCCTTACTCCAGCCAAGGAACTGGTGTCACAATTCTCTCCAGATATTTTTCACCTGTTATCAGCCTTATGTGATTATCCAACTAAAACAGTCAAAATGTATGTATTATAGCCTGCCCAGTAGCTGCCTTTGAAAGTGTACCACACTGGACTTACAAGATCCCACGTATACATAGTCAGCACAATGCTCATTTATTTAAATATTATATCTATCTATCTATATCATCTATATCTATATCTATATCTATATCTATATCTATCTATCAATATATATATATATATGCATAATGACATGTGCATAATGTGCCCTAGGAATCCAAAGCAGGACAACGGATACCTAGGATCTGGAGTTATAAGTGGTTGTGAGCTATATGAAATGGGTGATGGGGACCAGTGACCATTATTCTAGCCCCATACATTTTTAAATTATTTTAAATTTAATTTAAACATTTTAAATTATTTTATAGCCTGGTTTATTAATTTCTTCAGGATATTGCCAAGTATTACACTAGAAACTGTCAACAGGATTACATCTCTAATAACCTTCAAAGCAAGTGATACAAAGATATGAGGCAATTACTGTGCTCCTCATGGTATTTCTGTAAGCAGAAGTCTTGTATTTCAACTCAGTAGTAATTTTAGTCTAAGTAGAGCCATAAGTAGATTAAAGTATAGAAAGAGGTTACTAATAGGAGAGAGTTGGGAAATATTCAATAAGAACTATTTCTAATTCAATGGTAGGATTACAACCCATTGCAATTTCTAATTTCTTTTGAAATAAGTTTGAAATGTTACAAGTCAGTCAACATTAACACCACTCCAATATGTGCTATGATATTTATTTATCATGAGATAAGAAAATAATAAAAATAAAGTCTTCATGCTGGTAATGATAGGATCAGAACATGGCCTCTTCAGCCTCAGGGGCTGCACCATGTTCTACTGCTCTGAGCCTGTAGCAGTTCTTATCTGGCCCAAGTCAAGAGAGTATGCCTCAGAATCTACATTACTGACTAACTTAACCATTGCTAGGAATAGAGTATCAATGACATTATTCAAGAATAAATAATTTGATCAAAGACAAACTACGTCAAGGCCACAAATATTCTTCTTGCAATCAATTGCCTTCTTTTCTTTTGCTTCCAATTTGCCTGTTTCATTATGCAGGCCACTTGCATCATGCAGCCCAGAGACAGTGTTATTCAGTGTGTGCTTCCTGGACAGTCTGAAGCGGGGCCCTGTGTAAGCTAGTTGAATTACATATACCCCCATTTACCTGCCTTAGCTGATATAGTGGAGTGACTCACAAGGTATTAAAGCAATTGACACAAATCCAGAGCATCCGTTCTGGCTTCTTTACTCTGCCCACTTTCTCCCTATTTACATTCCAACCAATGTAATGACAGAATGGAGTTCCAGAAGACAGCTGCTACTCACTGCCCTGTGTGAACTCTACTAATAGTTTTTAGTGCTTTTAAGATAAATGAAGTTTTCATAGACCAACCAAACCATATTTATCATCTATTCATATGAATGATAAATTGATTACTTTATTAATGGCACGGTTTTAATTGTCCTGTGCTTATTTTTGATTATCAAGTTTCTTTTTGTGGAACTTATGACAAAATAGTGTTTTGAACATGCTATTGTTTACCTTAAAACTACTGGGATGAAAGATATAATCTATGTAGTACACCAAAATTAAGGAAATATCTTATTTCAATCAAACTGATAAAATCACTAAATATTTGAAGTAATGACCATTTAGATAGTAATTAAGGTCTACATCAGTTGCTGGGTGACTTGGCATCTTAGTTGGCTATTGTCAGGTGAGTAGATGGGTAGCACAGGGATTTTCAGCAGAGTGCTCAAAGCTTGTCCATGAGCTCCTACAATTGTGCAACACTGCCCATAATGAGCAGGAAGTGGAGAAGAGAATCAGAATCTGGAGTTGTTGCATTTCAGGTAATACTCATGAACAATGGCATGGACATTGTATAGTCTGAATTAAACAACTTGTATCTGGGTTTTGTAGTTGTTACTTTGCAGAGTATCTGTCTATCATAGACCAGAAACTTTATAAATTATTGTTTTTCCACATATCAAATGAGGAACTCAGGTTATAGAACAAAGTCCTGGGAGTAGAATTTGGTCAATAGTTCTGGTGTTTACCAATAGGGCCCTTGGAGCAAGGTACTTCCCAGAGTCTGATAAATGGAAAAATAATATTAGCTTCAGAATACTGTGAGGACACATGACTTTTTTTGTTGTTGTTGGTTTTTGTTTTTTTTTTTTTTGTTTTTCGAGACAGGGTTTCTCTGTGTAGCTTTGCGCCTTTCCTGGAACTCACTTGGTAGCCCAGGCTGGCCTTGAACTCACAGAGATCCGCCTGGCTCTGCCTCCTGAGTGCTGGAATTAAAGCCGTGTGCCACCACCGCCCGGCATGGACACATGACTTTTAAACATTCCTTTTTGCTTTGACTAAGGAGAAAGAGCAAGTTCTACCACACCAGTGTCTGGAAGTGGAGAAGGTAGCACACCCAGGGAACACAGCTCTGAAGGGACAAGCGCAGGAACCTCAGGTGAGTCAGAACATGCATCTTACTAGTTAGTTAGTGTGCATTGGACATTGCAGACATCCAAACTGTGGAGGATGGGGTGGGTGTGCAAAACGTGGAAATGCATAAGACGATTAAAATGTTGACTTGAGTTGCTTAAAACCACTGCAGAGTAGGAGTGTCTGTTGATATGGTAGTTACCTAAGGAAGAGGCAGAGGAAACATCTGGAACAGCAGGAAGAGGGGGCCACCCATGCTGCAGTCTCAGGGGCGGATGTGGCAAGTCACAACACAGATTTTAGCAAGATAGAAGTGAGAGATTAAGATCAAGAGAAGGTGACAGGGTGGCAGTATAGGATTTGAGACACAATCGAAACTATGGAATGTCCTGAGACTGTTCTCTGAATCATTTAGTCGGTGCATCAAACACTGTTCTCCCTGCTGCTCCTCTGCTGCTCCAGGCACGAGTCAGGGAGCAGGTACAGCTCACATTTGCAGCGGCTGGTTCAAACACATAGGGAGTAGCAGGTAGTGGGACAGCTCATAGGGGAACTCCAGGCAGTGGACCTGAGGATATTGCAATAAGAAGGCAGTTGGCATCAAGGCTTCCACTGAGAATCTTCACACTGTTTTTCCTGTGTTGTTACAAGTCCAAAAGACTGGAAATTGCCTTTAATCTCATATCCCCATTAATATTATAATGTCTGTGTTCAAAGAATCCATGAGAAGAGATTGCAAACTTTACAAAAACAATTCATTTCATACACAAAGCTGGAGACTCTGATTTGGATAAAGCTTCTAGGCTTAGATGGTAGAGTTTTCCGTTTCAGATGTTTATGATAACGTTCAATGAATTGATGATATCTGGAGCAATTTTAAATGCTACTTTCTTTTTATTTGATAACAGCCGGTCCTACCACATCCACCCATGTTGCTGAGATAGGCAGCTCACCTGGGCAACACAGCCCTGGAGTCACTAGTCCAGCAGTGTCAGGTGAGTCAGGGCCTGCCCTTCAATGTCCTATGATGGGGAAAGAATCAGGGAGTGGTGGAGGAGTCATGAAGGAAACACACAGGTTGCCATTTTACCCACATTTCTCAATATCCCCACAAGGCAATGAGCACATGTTGAAACCCTTTTGGTCTAGTTTGTTGGGGACAAATGGAGAGTTGATAAGACCCCCAGGATCATGCTTGTGAGCAGAGGAGGACCATGAGTGTGAACAAAGCAGGGCCAATTGTGTGAACACAACAGGAGCATTAGGCCGGGAACCTCTCACTCTGATGCCTCAACAAGCACAATAGAGCTCCTAATTTAGAGTTGAGGTGGGATCTAGGTCAACTGTCTCTAACACTCAGATTGGGAAATTGGGGATAAGGAAATGTGAACAAGAATGACTCTGTGTGGTGGTATTGTGTTCCCCAAAATATTGTGTACCCTAATAAACTTATCTGGGGTCAGAGAACAGATCAGCCACTAGATAGATACAGAGGCTAGAAAATGGTGGCATTCACGCCTTTAATCCTAGTATTCCAGAGGCAGAAATCCGTCTGGATCTCTGTGAGTTCAAGGCCACATTGGAAACAGCCAGGCAATGTGACACATGCCTTTAATCCCAAGAAGTGATCCTTTAAGCCCATGGAATGATGGCATAAAGCAGAAAGATATATAAGGCATGAAGACCAGAAATTAGAAGCATTTGGCTGGTTAAGCTTTTAAGCTATTGAGCAGCAGTTCAGCTGAGATCCATTCTGAATGAGGACTCAGAGGCTTCCAGTCCAGTCTGAGGAAACAGGATCAGCTGAAGAACTGGCAAGGTGAGGTAGCTGTGGCTTGTTCTGCTTCTCTGACCTTCCAACATTCACCCCAGTACCTGGCTCCAGGTTTGTTTTTATTAATAAGACCCTTTAAGGTTCATGCTACATCTCTGAAGGAACTAATGGCATGAAGGAACCATGGAATGACCCAGCGATTTCTCCCTTCACTGTTTAATGCACAGGCACAAATGGAGGAACAGGCACAGCCACGACTGGAGCCACAGCAGGAAGCACATCTGTAAGGACAGGTAATGACGGGCAGGGGAAGGTGACAGACAGGCAAGGAGGAGACCTGAGAGTTCAGTGTCCAGATTCCAACAATGATAAAAGTTTTCCACCGCTAATCCTTCCAAAACAGTTCCACAAGCTGGGGAAGCATATATATGAGCCTATGGGGACCAGTCTTGTTCAAATTATCAAACAAAGGAAGCAAGTTTAAGAGACTAAGTAGTCCAGAGTCTTCTAACTGGTTATCATTTTAAAATGATACCCACGAACCCAATTTCTAAAAGTCTGAATCAGGTTACTGAGGCCTTATGAAACACTCAGTCCCTTGTACCCTTTGTTTATTAAACACTGCCATGAGTGGGAAATGTGAAATTTTTGTTCTCAGCTGAGAGCAATCCCACACTGCTTCTTACAGGAGTGATCTACTAAGGCCCGAAATTGAGCTCATACTCATGGGAACACATTCAAATGACACAGTGGGGTGGTATGTCTCTGTTGAAAAAGGCTTAGGCTTTTATTAATTCTCTTTAAATATTTTTCTTTTCTACTTAATTTGACCACAATTTCAAAGCACAAATCTATCACAGGTTGAGACTGCATTGTTATTAGTTATTGTCTCATGTATGTAATGCATTCACCTGGATCTAGATGCCAGAGCCTGACTTGTGAGTGTGATCTTAACCAGTTTAGTGACCTGGAGTATGCCCCTGAACCACATTCAAACACATGCATGGAACAATAAGTGCAGTTGGAGTAGATCTAAACAGCATGGATATTTGATTTTTGTCTAGGGCATTCTCAGTTGCTGTTTTCTCATTAGTAGGTGAAGGAGGGCCCACTATGTCAATGATTACAAAAGGAGCAGCCAGCACAACTAGGGAACAAGGCACTGCAGCTACCACCCTCGGAACCTCAGGTAATTTCAAACATGCACTCAAGTGTCTAAGATATGCCCAACCAGGAAAACATGAAGGCTGTTGTGAACACGGTAGAAGAGCAGATCATTGAAAGTGTGATTGCGTTTCCCAGATCCTCTTCAATGCAGCAGCTGTGCATTAGAATGCATTGCTCTTCTTTGCCAGGTTCAACAGGAGGATCTGTGGGAACCAGCACTGAAGCCGGAAAGGGAAGCTCCCCTGGAACACCAGGCACTGGGACCACCAGCTCTGTTATACCATCAGGTCAGACAGCCTCTTCTGAGGCTGGGGTCAGCACTGGGGTTTTTAAGGAGATCCACAAAGATGATATTGTAAATACCAATGGCCCAAGATATCTTGAAGGACTTTATTATTAGACTTCTCTACTTATTAAACCCCATTCTTCTGTCCTAGGAACAAGAGGAGGAACAGATGCAGCCACCACTGCAGTTGCTGAGGAAAGCACATCTCGAGGAACAGGTACTGAGGCTGTTCAGCATCGGGAAACTGACGCAGTAGATTTGTGAACTTGGTGTTCATAATTTCGTCAGTGGTCCAGTTTCCTGGGAACTGTCTCACAGTTTGCCATTTGCTGCCAATTGCTCTAGATACCAGAAACAAACCCAAAATGTTTGGTTGTTTTTAATACTCTGTATGATATTGAATGGAATATAGGGAAAGCAAGGAAGATGATTATCTCCTCTTCTTTTCAGACATGTCAGATTTTATGTTAAGAGAAGATAGAAACAGAAAAGAAGAAGCAAACAGGGAGAAATTATGTGAATTGTGTGAATGATGTTATGGGAATCAGGAAAGACAAGATCAGTAGATGGTGAATATTAAGTCATCTACACTAATTTTGAAAGGAAGACTATTCTAATGGACAGGACACATAATTAGAATTAAGAGACTTAATGAGATCAAGCATATCATCGCCCAGTGATGTATGAAGGCAGGTTCTTCCATTTTTTAAATGAAGAAGGATTCTTATCACTTAAGAAAATATCTAACTTCTCATTGTCTTGAACTGACCCTTACCTCACTCATTTTCAGGTTCGACCAGGATCACATCTGCATCCACCTCTGGAGAAGCAGGTGTCACCACTCCTGGAGAAGGTCACACTGGAGCCACAAGTTCTGGTGAGATCCAATTCCCTGGGATGATGGCCTAGCCACGACCGTCAATGCCCTCCAAGTATTGTGCTCACTCATGTAATCTGACTCAATCCTGATTAGAATAAAGGGCTTGGGAGAGCCAGAAGGGCAGCGCTGTCTTTTGGTTTAACAAAATATGAATAAATAATTATAGCAGTGGTAGGAGGACCATAAAGATCCTCAAAACTACCAACCAGCTCTTGGCACTAGGAACCATACTGTGTTAGTAGGCTCCACCTCTCCAATCCATGGAATAAAAGCTAGACAAAACACAACTCCTCTGAATAGCACTCTGGGAAAATTGGACAGAGAGATGTCTGACAAAGTTGTGTGAACAGAGTCCATTTTCTGTGTGTAGAGTTGATGCAGAATGGCAAGGAATAGCTTGGGATCACAGCTATTCATCCTTCTCCATACCATGAGTGGAAAGAGTTTTGGGGTATTTGGTGTGGCTGTGATCTACTCCGAGTGTGTTTATGGCCATGGTGATTTGAGGACTCCTTACAACTTATAAGGTTGTAGAACATGAGATGAGGACATTGTATGCAATGCTACCTGGATGAAAGAATCCACTAGAGATTTTTTTTTTTTTTTTACTATTGATGGAGGACTTTTGACAGATTCATTGAAATTAGAGCTCTAGAAAAGTAATTTTAAGGATTATTATTTATTCTTTAGATAGTGGTGTGTGTGTGTGTGTGTGTGTGTGTGTGTGTGTGTGTGTGTGTGTGTATTGGTGAAATTATTAAGGCCACTCCACATAGTTGAAAGGGAGATTTATTTAATGGCATAACTTACAAATGAAGAGATTGGTAGGTGGCAGGTTCTGGGAAAGACGCAGCACAATACAGCGGTGTTCTCTGGAGAACTCTCCTCAGTCTACCTCTAGCGTCCAGGGTCCAAGGAGGAAGAGAGCACGGCACATTCTGATCTCGGGTCTTCAGGGCCCTCCCTTGGCCCTGCCTTGTAGGCATGATAGTTACCGAAGCCTCAATAGGGGTTGGAACTTCCATACCAAAGCTGGAATGGCTACCCACTATGTGTGTGTGTGTCTCTGTGTGAATGATTGTTAGTTCATTGGCCATAGAGGTCAGATATGTGGGGTTCTCTTGTTACTAAAGTTAGAGATGGTTGTGAGACACCCCTACATGGGTGCTGGGTACCAAACTGAGGTCCTCTGAAAGGGCAGGATGTGCTCTAAGCCACTTTAATATCTCTTCAATCTCAATAAGTGTACTTATTTATTTATAAAAATGTTTACTATCTTTTTGGAAATTTCATACAATGTATTTTGATCACGTTTGTGTCCTTCTCCCAGGTCTTTTCACATTCAACCCCCTCTTCACTAGTCATATAACTTTCTGTAGTCTTTGTTTTTCAAACCCAAGGATGTCCAGTCTATGTCTTATGCTGGGTCATAATGTACTGAAAAACACAACAGAACTTTTGCACTTTGAAAGAAACTTCTTTACATGAAGACCTGTTACCACTTTTTTGTACATAGATTTGTATTGTAATAAAGCAGTGTTCCCTTCTCTAATCACTCTTAAGGAACTTTAAGATAGCAATGGGTGACAACTTGGGAATGTGAGATTAGTCTCTGTGACATGTGTTGGAGTTCAACTGGAGATCCTTGTTTGAGTTGGGCTCTTGGATGTATATTAATAAAGTGACCTTTACTAGGTCACTGAATTACACTGAATCTCACAAACAATTTGATACTTAGAGGAGATTTTTCCAATATTATACATATATATGTACACACACACACATATATATATGTATTTGTATATAAATACATATATATGTATATATGTATTTGTTCAATACATTTAAAATTTTTATTTCGTCATCAATTGGCCTAGGAGTTACCACGAGACAAATATCCACTGCTGGGGAAGGCAGCACACCCAGGGAACAAGGAACTGGAGCCACAAGCCCAGGAACCTCAGGTAATTCCAAACATGGACCTGAGTATTTAAAGTGTAGTCCTCTAAGAAAACTTGAAGGAGGTGGTAAAGATGCTAAAAATACGGATCACTGACAGTTTGGCTGCATTTCCTGAGGGTCCTTCAGGTGGCATAGCACTGCTCTTGCTTGCCAGGTTCAACAGAGGGATCTTTGGAAACCTCCACAGCAACAGGCAAAGGAAGCTCACCTGGAACCCCAGGCACTGGATCCTCCAGCACTGTGACACCATCAGGTCAGACAAGGCCTCTTTAGGGGCTGTGGAGGGGACAGCACATGGTGTGGCCATGGCATTGAGAGAGGACTAAAACAGCTGTGGAATCTAAGCACATGTATGGAATTACAAAATGTGTTTAAAGATTAGTGTAGCTATCTGTCCATATTAATTTCCATTCTTCTTCCTATAGGAACAAGAGGATCAGATGCGGGCACCACTGTAGCTCCTGGAAAGAGCACATCTGGAGGAACAGGTACTGTGAGAGCCAACAGAGGGACATCCAGTAGTAGACATGTGACCTTAAATAGTGCCTATGATTTCCTGATAAACAGTTCCCTGGAAAATATGACCTTTGTTCATGTGGTGTCAAGAGGTTAGAAATGCACCCCAAATCTTTGTTGTCCATCTTAAGTAGGTGAGATTTTAATTTGGAAAAGGAAGCAATGTGTAAGTAAGTCTGTCTGTCTCAACTACAACTTGGAAAGAGAAAAACTAAGATATATAGAAGAAGAAGAATTAGTACAGAAATTAAGTGGTGTGTGATACCAAACTTACCATGGAAAGACTGTTCTAGAAAGATAAATCAAAGCCATTTGTAGTTCAAGTTGAATTGGGTGTGTTGTGAAGTGTTTTGTTTCTAACACATATATTGCTAAATTAGTAGAATATCAGGTCTACCTGGTTTGCCTCTTTTATCTTGAAAAACAGCTCTCTATGATAGGGACTCATCATAGCTGAGGAGACAGCTATAGCCTTCCTAGGTGTGAAAAAGCAAGCTTATTTGAAGTTACATCCAAAGCAGAATTACCTGCATGTGTGCTTAAGCTAACATTTTTCCGTGGTAGGCACACCCAAAGCATCCCCTGGAACAACCTCTGAAGCAGCTGTCAGCAGCACCCCTGGGACAGGAAGCACTCGAGCCCCAGATTCTGGTAGGTCCACAGATGTCCCTGGTAACTAGAAAATGCTGAGATATTAAATGAGACTCTAGTTGGGATAGAATGAGAATTAAAGAAAATACTGTGGATATGCCTTTTTATGTAACCTCCCTACTATTCAACATAATCAGGAAGGACAAAACACATGCTCAACACAAACAATTGTTTTCTTGGTTTCTTTTTTTTTTCTTTTTTTTTTTAGCATCTTTAAGGACCACCACTGCTGGTTCAGTGGCCCCAGCGAAACCATCCACATCTGCCAGCACACAATCAGGTAAGTAAAGGGAAAAATTCACCGAGTGTTCAGTGTCACATTCTTCTGGTTGTTATCCTAACTTGGGACACTACCATGGAAATGGAAAGTAATATTAGAGACTGGGATGAAGAAGCACATCTGCTGATCAACAGCTGGCCTGTAACTGAGGGAGGGATGGATTAGGTATTCTCTAATCAGAGAAAACTGAGAATGGAATGGTTCATCAAGATCTAGAGTCTCACAATACAGTTACATTTGTGTGTATATATATCCTTTTTAAGACAAAAGCAAACAGGCTTAATAGTCCTTTCATGAAAGTGTATAACTTCACAGAATCTCTGTCTAATATTTTCCCACTTGATCAACCTAAGGCTCACCTGGGGCATCATCTGGATCAAGCCCTGGAACAGCAGGTGTCAGCACTCCTGGAGAAGCAAGCTCTGGAGCCACAGGTTCAGGTGAGATTACAATAGTCTGGGTGATGGTTCAGCCATTCCTGCCCATGTCCCGCAAAATAGGGAGTACCTATGCAATGAAAAGCAACCATAAATTTTCACTTTCATTTCCTGAACTTCTAAAATATTGCCAGCAAAACCATAAAAAAAAAAATCAGGTCCTCAACTTCCAAATTGTTCTTCCTTCTAGAAACCACAAACATTTCTGGAGGCTCCACCACTGTCAGTCCTGAAACATCAACTAGACCCTTGGTGACTTCTGCTAGGAGCAGTCCAGGTAAATGAGACAGAGAGAGATGTCTGACTTGAGTGTGTGCATGGAGACCATTTTCTGTATGTGGTGACTGGTGCACAAGAGAAAGGAGTAGTAGAAAATTGACTCTGTAGGGGCTGCTGCATAAAAGGCTGTAGTGACAGATGTGGGATAGGTAATATTTCTGTAATTAGTCTAAGTTTGCACATGGCCACAGTTTTTGATAACCCCTTGAGGCTTGTTAGGTTTTGGATATTGAAATTGGAATGTGACTTGTAATGGGGCTTAGATAGGATAATAACTAGAGATATTTTTGCAATATGAATGGAGGAACCTTCAGACTCATTGACCTTGAAACTGTGTGAGAAGGGTTTTAAATGAGTGAATACTTTCTACTGTGCAACCTCTCTTCATAAGCACTGAGCTCAGCTAGAGACATTAAATACATAAGTGAATGGCAAGCTAAAATGCATCCCATCTATAATACATTAATCTAAAATTATATTGTATGTTCAAATGTTGGAAATGCTGAGTTGGAAGGGAGAAGTGAAAAAAGAATATATGGTAGAGATGTGAAATCAGAGAGCAGCATGGCATGATGAACTTTATCAGTGGTCCTAATGTCCATGTACTGTTTCCTCTGAAAGGGACCCCTGAACCATCAGCTGGTGAAGCAACCGGAGCCTCAACCCAGCCTGGAGAAGAATCAGGTGAGCAGGTGGTGTTCAGAATTGTGGAGTCATTACCCTGTTTCTTATGAAAAGCACAGTAACTACATCAAGTGTATGAACATTTGGTTAACCAATCCCAAGTTCTTAACCTTCGGCGGCTCATGATGTGCTGAGATACAAACAGATCCTATTACCTTTTAAAGACACATTGACACACGAAGACCTGTTATCTTTCTCTTGTCCATATCTTTGTGTTGTAGCAGAACAGTATTCCCTTCGCTCCTTACATTTAATGCGTTTTAAGTACTCGGTCAATGACAACATGGAAATGTTAGATTACTTTGTCACATGTGTTTGAGTTCTCCTGGAGGTAGATGCTGGCTTTTGGCTCTTGCATGTGTTATAGATAAGTAATGTGACCTTCTTTAAGTCACTGAATTATATCCATTCATAAAAACAATTTGAAGCCGGGTGGTGGTGGCGCACGCCTTTAATCCCAACACTGGGGAGGCAGAGGCAGGCGGATCTCTGTGAGTTCGAGGCCAGCCTGGGCTACCAAGTGAGTCCCAGGAAAGGCGCAAAGCTACACAGAGAAACCGTGTCTCAAAAAAACCAAAAAAAAAAAAAAAAAAAACCAATTTGAATGATACATGGGATTTCTGCTAATATACTATGCATATTTGTCCAACATATTTAAAGTTGTTATTTCCTAATCAATTGGCCTAGGAGTTACCATGAGACAAATATCCACTGCTGGGGAAGGCAGCACACCCAGGGAACAAGGAACTGGAGCCACAAGCCCAAGAAACTCAGGTAATTGCAAACATGGACCTGAGCATCTAAAGTATAGACCTCTAAGATAACTTGAAGGAGGTGGTAAAGCTGCTAACAATACAGATCACTGACAGTATGGCTGCATTTCCTAAGGGCCCTTCAGGTGACATAGCACTGCTCTTGCTTGCCAGGTTCAGCAGGGGAATCTGTGGAAACCACCACAGCAGCAGGCAAAGGAAGCTCACCTGGAACCCCAGGCACTGGATCTTCCAGCACTGTGACACCATCAGGTCAGACAAGGCTTCTTTAGGGGCTGTGGATGGGACAGCACATGGTGTGGCCATGGGATTGAGAGAGAGCCAAAACCACTGTAGAATCTAAACTCATGAATGGAATGATAAAATGTGTTTAAAGATGAGTGTAGCTATCTCTCCATATTAAATCCATCTTTCTTGCCTTAGGGACAAGAGGTGGAACAGATGAAGCCACCACTGTAGCTCCTGGAAAGAGCACATCTGGAGGAACAGGTACTGTGAGAGCCAACAGAAGCACATCCCACAGTAGACTTGTGATCTTAAACAGTGCTTAAGATTTCCTCACAAGACAGTAAATATGATCATTCTTTGTATGGTTTCAAGTGTATAGGAGATCACAAATGTTCCTCTGATTTTTCTTCTATATCTTTAAAGCATGTCAGATTTCAACTTGGCAAAAAGTAACATATAAATAGGCATGTCTCACTCAACTACAAGTTGGAAAGAGAAAAACTAAAATATGTACACAGGTACAATGAGAAGAATAATTAGTACAGAATTGAAGTAGGGTATGATGCCACACTTACCATGTAGGACTCTTTTTGAAAGACAAATCAAAGGCATTTATAGTTGAAACTTGAATTATGTGTTTAGAAGTATTTTATTTCTGACATCTACATTGCTAATTTATTAGAATACCAGGGATACCTTGTATGCTTCATTTATTTTGAATAATGGTTCTCCATGATTGAAGGTATGAGTAATCATCACTATGTTTCTATGTTGCTGATGACACTGGAGACAAAAGTCTAAACAGTCTTATTAAATAAGAAACACAGCGCCAAATGCACAAGAGATTCTAGCTCTAGTGAAAAGCCAAGACCTCCATATCTTACCTCTCACTTCTGTCCTTCCCTCTGAGGAAGAGACCTTCTTCCCATGTGTCCTGTCTTTTATTGCTTTCCTGTTCTGCCTTCTCATTGGCTCTAAGCCAAGCCACATGACTTCCTCATCACTGCCTGTCTATACAGACCTCCTGAGCTGGTACTGGATTTAAAGACTCAAGGGTCACCATGCTTGGCTGTGTCCTTGACCACACAGAGACTATGTCTGCCATGTGATTGGATTAAGGGCACAGGCTACCACCACCTGACTTCTATTTCTGGCTTGCTAATGAGCTCTGATCTCCAGGCAAACTTCATTTATTAACATACAAATAAAATCACATTTCAGCACAATTAAAATATCACATTTTCCCTATTATTCTAATAAAGAGAAAAAGAGAAAAAGTTATAACTAGTATAAGAAAAACTATATACAATAAGTACAGTAACTATATATAATATATACAAGCAATAAATAGCTAAAGGATATCTAGTCCATTTGCATTTGACAGACTCAGAGAAAATATTCTATTATCTATTCTATTTTGGTAATTCCAAAATGTACCTGATTCACTTTTTATCCTAACTTGTATTACTAACAGAGAACTATCTTATAATGTCTTTCAGATTTATACACTTACATCTCTTTAGTGAGTTTCTTTTCTGAAATTCTTAACAAGGAAAATTATAACGATGACTACTAATTTTAAGTATAACTATAACTATCTAATCTTCAACTCCTATAAGTGTAACTATAACTATTAATCTTCAAATAACTCAGAGACCCAAGAAGGAAATAATATTACCTAATAAAACAGAAAGTGCAAACAAGCCACTTCCAAAAAAAAAAAATGTGAGTTGACAGAAACAGCCAGCTGCCTGGACAGTCACCTGAGGTTTCTCCACAATGTAGGGGCATCATCTTTCGCCTATTGGCTTAGTGTATCTGACAGGTTCATTTATAGAAGTTTGCCAAACAACAACATGAGACAGTTATAGCCTTTGGGAGTATGAAAATCAAGCCTACTTCAAGTTACATCCACAAGTTGAATTACCTCTGAGAGTTATTAAGCTAATATTTTTCTATGGTAGCCACAACCAGAGCATCCTCTGGAACAACCTCTGAAGCAGCTGCCAGCAGCACCCCTGGGACAGCAAGCACTGGAGCCCAGGATTCTGGTAGGTCCACAGATGTCCCTGGTAACTTAGAAGTCAGTAGACATGAAATGTTATAGGAAGTGCTGAGTTATTAAAGGAGACTCTAACTGGGACAGAATGAGGTTTAAAGAAAATAATGTGAATATGCCATTTTTTGTAAAATTCCTAAGATTACGGGTTAGCAGTGAGACAAAACACGTGTTAAACACCACCAATATTGTTTCGTGCTTCTTTTTAGATTCTGCAAGGACCGCCACTGCTGGTCCAGTGACCACAGCCAAACCATCCTCCTCTTTGAGCACAGAAACAGGTATGTGAATGGGAAAATTCACTGATGGTTCAGTGTCACATTCTCCTGGTATTTATCCTCACTTGGGACTCTGCCATGCTGATGAATAGAAGGGAATCTGAGAGACTGAGAAGAAGCTTATCTGCTGATCAACAGCTGGCCTGTAACTGAGAGAGGGATGTATTTGGTGTTCTCTAATCAGAGAAAACTGAGAATGGAATGGTTTACCAAGATCTAGAGTCTCACAATACAATTACATTTGTGTGTATATGTATCCTTTTTAAGACAAAAGCAAACAGGCTTAATAGTCCTTTCATGAAAGTGTATAACTTCACAGAATCTCAGTCTAACATTTTCCCACTTGATCAACCTAAGGTTCACCTGGGGCATCATCTGGATCAAGCCCTGGAACAGCAGGTGTCAGCACTCCTGGAGAAGCAAGCTCTGGAGCCACAAGTTCAGGTGAGATACAATAGCCTGGGTGATGGTCCAGCAGCTTTTGTCCATGTCCGGCTGAATATGGAGTACCATGGTCCTCTGGGGGTTTAACTGAATGATACTCCAGTGCTGCAAAGTGCTGAGGGGGGATCATAAATTTTCATTTTCATTTCCATTTCTTGAACTTCTAAGTATTCCCAGCAAAACCACAAAAACAATCAAGTCCTCAACTTCCGATTTGTTCTTCCTTCTAGAAACTACAAACATTTCTGGAGGGTCAACCACTGTCACTCCTGAAACATCAACTAGACCAGTGATGACCTCTGCTAGGAGCAGTCCAGGTAAATGAGACAGAGAAAGAGAGAGAGAGAGAGAGAGAGAGA